CAGGGCCATTTTCTGAGCTGCCTTTGCCAACACCAACTCGGCTGCTGGCAGCAGTCACATGTCGCAGCCCGACAGCTTTTCTGCCCACCAAAGCYACAACCAGATTAAACAGGAGGCAGCAGCAAAGGCGCTCGGTGCCAAGGGCAGCACAGCCCGGGTGCCAAGCAGCAGCATTAGTTTTGCCTGGCACCCCTTTTCTAGCCCCAGAAGAAGAGATCCACCTCTGTGCTGCAGTGCCTCGGGTGCCAAGCAGCAGCATTAGTTTTGCCTGGCACCCCTTTTCCAGCCCCAGAAGAAGAGATCCAGCTCTGTGCTGCAGTGCCTCGGAAGTCTGAGTCACTGCTTCGGGGAAGGGGCCAGGGCCGTTACTCAGAGGGTGACAGCAGTGTCCCCGGGAGCTGGSATGCCAAGCCAAGTGCCAGAAACCTGAGTCAGAGCAGGACTGCTGCAAGTCAGGGCGACACATAGCAGAGRTGCTCCTCTGACCAGCAGCATTTACTGGACAAACATTAAGGCACACGCTTAAAGACAAAAAAAAAATAAGTCTGAACTAACCTAGAAGCACAGCCCTAACTGCTCATTAGTGCAGGATCTTTTACAGCCCCTCGGAGCAGCAGCTTATTACAAGTGAAATTCTAACTAGGCTGCCCTGTCTATTCAGAGCCACCAAGCCCGGTCTCATCACAAGAGTCTCATTCTAGTGCAAATCATTTGAATCCTTAATCTCAAGCATTTGCATTCCAGCGAGTCTCAAACAAACAGCCACACATGCTCCCCAACAGCAGCCCGGAGGTCAGGCGTGTGCAGGGTTTGTCCCCTCGGTTTTGTAGTGCTTCGACTGCATCAGCTTCTCCTTTGAGGCTGCAAAAGCAGCACAACCCGGCTGTTGTTACAGGGCATAAAGGAACAGGATGTTCTGAGTACAGGGGGAGAATGCAGCTGCGAGACCTGAGAGCTGGCTCAAGAGGATAAATGTTAACTCAAGAGCTAGGAAGTGTTTTGAAGGATGGACGCCGCGTTTAGTCTGGCCGRGGTGATAGCTGGGGAGTTCTGCGGGATCAGGGCGCCACGATAACTTAATCAAGTCATTTACAAGTCAACCCAAGTAATTTACATTGCCGTAGAACCACAGTTACCATGCCAMCCTTACAGGTACAGATACTATCACTGATTTTAAGAAGTCTTTAAACCTAARTCCATCAATCCATTCATYTGAGGAAGAACAACKTACACRYAAAATACAACACAATCTAGTGGYAACTTATAGCCAAGGGGATTCAAGMAGCCAGRATGTTTCCAAYAGAGCAYTTACCASCWCYAGRAGCCAAAAGRGAAGGAAAAGTAGCTGCAGGAGCTGTGCTGAAACCTGCATTCTGAGCCAGCCAGTGTCCTCCACCCCCCACCCCCATCACTCAGAAAGTCAGGTTAGCAGCTTGCAGCTTGTGGTGGAAGTGGGACTCGAGCATTTTGAAAAGGCAGCATGACACCACAGGAAAATCATGGCAAGGTAACATTAGGCTCTACTTCAGGCATTTGAGAGCAGCAAATGGCCTCCCCATGGCATTGAAACAGCTCAAGGCAATAGTAAAGCCATTAGCAGAGGCTTGGAGGGGAAGGAAGAGGGGAAGACACATAGGARAAAACATTTTCCCTGTTGCTGAACTGAATGCAGACCTTTACAGGACCTCAGAGTGCCAGGATCTTAGAAGAGAGCAACCTGAGGGGCAGAAAAGAGAGCAATCAGTTTGGCTAACAGCCTGTACTTCCCAGGGTGAACGAGCCTCTGGTATCTCAAATCTGAAAAGTACCAAGTTCAGCCCCCATTTGCCTCTTGCGTAAGATGTTCGGGAAAGCTCTGAACCACAGGAGAGCACTCTCCAGCATGGGAGCTGGCAGCACTCGGGACAGATGAGAGCAGGGCTGTTTCCCTGATTGTGCCCCAAGTGCTGCAGGGTGACTGTTCTCACCCATGGGAACCTCCACATCTAGCGGGGACAAGGTGCTGAGCTGGAGAAGGACCGTGCACCCCTGAACTCCCGGCCCAGGAGCTGTGCATGCACTTCAGCAAAGTACAAGGTCCTAAAGAGGTTATTTTTTTTTCCCTGCACATTACAGGCATTTCATCCCAACAAACAGCTAAAGGTTTGATTAGCCAAAGTCATGAGCTCTTTCCCCTTCAGGGCTAAGGGACATCGCTTTAGACACYGTCATTTTGCTGCTCTGTGTTTTAGGGAGACTGGAACAATGGAGAGTTTCACTCTAAATGTGAGCGTGGCAAGCCAAGGTAAAATAAAGTAAAACGTGCAGATAGCAATGTCTTGATTTGATTGGGAGGGACAGATGAGAAACTGGGCAAAGAGCAGAAAGAACAGGCCTCGGGGATCAATGGCAGCAGGACAAGCCAAACCGGTTTTAACATTAATAATGCTGCACTACTTTCCAAACACAGCTATCATCAACAAGACACCAGCTTTGCCAATCAGGAGGCCTCTGAGCATGATTGCTTTAAACCAGCAAACAGAGCCCACAAAAAGCATGAAGCCTCCCCCCTCTCCCTGAGCAATCCTCTGCCAGCAGCTTCTGGGTTGGATTTGTACTCCTCTGCACTGCTGAGGACACACGAACACGATGTCATGCTGCATGAGGACTTTTCCTGCATACTTCAAGGCACAAAAGTAGGACAGCTGCAACAAGCCWGCAGCCCACTTGCACTGCTCTGGCCCTGCTGAGCTCTGGGCACTYGGCTCTTCTGCTGCCCAGACAAACTGAGCCTGCAGCACAGGGAATACCCTCCACCACAGGGAAATAGCCCTTGCTTCCCTCCTGCGCTGCCAGGGGCACTTCTGGATGCTGAAAGCACAGGGAGAGCTCAGCGATGCCACTCAGCCCAAGCAAGGCAGACATCACATCCTTTGTTAACTCCACCGATCCCACATTTTGGATGCACTGRTGCCTTTCTGTCCATCCCCCCTCAAGCATGTTCTGCAGGAAGCCCATCCTTGCTCAGCACAGAGGGGAGCATCCTGCCCACACATCCTTTGCTTTCCAAGGCACTCAGGCGGAGAGGGCTGGGGACCACCTGGTGACATCAGGAGCAGCTCCAGCCTCCCCCGGCCCCGCGGGAARGAGGCAATGTTCTCACACAAAACTGCGGGGCTGTTGTAACACAACCCACCCACCCACAGCCGGAGCACCAACGTCACACTCAGGCACTTCAGTAATATTCCCCACCCTCTTACACATCCAGGATTGCTTCACACGGAGAAATCCCATTTACACCAGAAAGCTGCTCAAGGGGAAAAGAGCCAAGGCATTTTTGTTTGTACAGGCTCGGGGAAATATTCAAGCACCGAATCACTCTCAACATCCACGCTCTTACATAAGCACAAGAAATACAATCCCCATCTTGTTAAGAAACAGCTACCTGTCTTCACCCTGCCCGCATAGAAAAACCGAGAGCCACATGCTGTGCAGCCCTGCACGTTTTGGCTGTGCTATTAAAAAAATAATATGGGAGGAGGGCCAGCAGAACTCTCCCAAACCGTGTGTCATCCTCGTCTMCTCCCCAGCAGCCTGTAACCCAAACAATTTGTTTGGATAAGGGTTTATAGTAGGCCAGCGTTACTTCTCAAGAATACACTCGTACTGAGGTAGCTTAAAAGACACGAATAAATATTCCGTGTAAGTTCTGTATCAGGATTTACGGACCACATCTGTGCAAAATTTGTTGTCTTTGCAGAAATCCGATGCTTGCAGACCACTCCAGTCCCTAGGGATACCAAGTTGCATTTCATACCAAACATGGTCAGTGCAACTTCCAGATGCTGTCTGCCCCAAAGGTTTGCCCTACTAGTTTGGGCCAGTTCCCAAACGACCGATTCACGTGCTTAATGGCAGGGATAAAGACACCAGATTAGAGTAAAGTGGATTTGGRCTGCTTGGTTTTAGCAGAGAGTAACTGACAATTACTACAGAGATRCTCTCTGTGGGAGTTTCCTGCTCTACAATCAGCAACCCCCCAGCCCTGTGCCCCTAGTAGAAAGCAGAAGAGCCTTATCGGTTGTGATCTGCCCACCCTGCCTTCAGTCCAAAACAAACCAACGGGGGTGATTAAACCTACTTTGGGAACCCCTGATCTCCTGCAGTTACCTTAATCTCAGCAGTTCTTTCACACTAACAGAGGAATCTGCCCTGAGTGCATTATCAGCAAGATGGTCAAGCACAAAAACAAACAAACAGCGGGGAAGCCAGAATCCCCAGAACTGCGCTTCACTGCGAAGACCCCACATGGACCGGCTTGAAGCATCCAAAATGTTCCACCTCATTATATATTTAAGATATTATTAAACCCTCCACGGTATCGYACCGGTTTTTCACACCCATGTGGAAGCGAGGAGGGATCGATACACACAGAAAGACAGTAGGTAGCAGCACAATCAAACTCAGGTAAGGCTGGAAAGCCTGTCCAGGTGCTGWGACCCATCGCACGCATCCAACCCGCCACACATGCACAAGAATTACAGGACTTCCATGACCCGCAGCTGGAGATCAAGGCTGTAAAGCAGAGCAGCTCATTTCCACCAGGCAGCCGCGTCTCCTGCGCCGCTCCGAGCGCAGCACGGGGCAGAACGGGATACGTGAGGAGCGGCACAGCCGCCCAGACAGCTCCACAGCGGGCAGGAGCCCCGCACAGGGCACGGCCAGCCCGGGACGACATTGCTTTGGCATCTGCTGGAGGAAACCGCGTCCGAGCCAAGACAACCGGAGGAAGAACGCGAGCTGCCCTATCGCCGTCTCCCTATTTCGCCCACCCTGCCCTTTTCCCGGAGCAGGGCAAGCAGCGGCGGCAGAGCCCCGGGGAGGCATTGGTGGTACCGGCTTTCTACTGACGAGCGGGGTCCGAGAGACGCGGGTCACCACCCCCGGTAACACCGAGAGCCCTTCGCTGCCGGGGCAGAGCCTCCCCTTTCCCCTGTCCCGCGGGTCCCGGCGGCACTCACCGACTCGGCGGCGGCGGCTCGCAGGAGGAGGCCGAGCAGGAGCAGGAGCGCGGCGCGCAGCGGGACGCGGGGCAGCGGCATGGCTGGGCTGGGCTGGGCTAGGCTGTACCGGGACAGACAGGACCACGGAGGGACGGATCCGATCGGAGCGGCTTCTGACCGTGCCCCGCTGCTGCCACCGCCCTTATAGGGCCGGCACTGCCCGCGGGGGCGGAGCGGCGCTGCTCCCGCCCCGCCGGGAATGCCCCGGCCCCGCTCCACACCCGCACCGATCCCGGGGGGCTGCGAGCGCCCCGCACCGATCCCGGGGGGCTGCGAGCGCCCCGCACCGATCCCGGGGGGCTGCGAGTGCCCTGCACCGATCCCGGGGGGCTGCGAGAAGCCCTGCACCGATCCCGGGGGGCTGCGAGCGTCCCGCACCGATCCCGGGGGGCTGCGAGCGGCCCCGCACCGATCCCGGGGGGCTGCGAGCGTCCCGCACCGATCCCGGGGGGCGGCCGGTGCAGGGACACTGCGGGGCTGCCACTGCTGGGGACACGGAGGGGACCGGCTCTGGAACCCCCTGTGCACGGCTGGGACCCCCGCACTGCCGGCGGCCACTGGGTTAGGGGGAGTGGGGGTAAAGGGGATAAAGGAGAAGAGAGGGAGGGGAAGAAAGGGGAACAGGGGAGGAAAAGGGAGGGAAGGGGGAAAAGGCAGGGAGGAAGGGGTCAGAAGAAAATGAAAGGAGGAAAAGGATGGGAAAGAGGAGGGAGAAGTGAAAATGGGGGGGAAAGGGAAAACGAAAAGGGCGGAGGAGAAGTGAAAGGAGAGGGAAAAGGAAAAGGGGGAAGGGAAAGCGAGGGGAAGAAGGAGGGAAAGGGAAAGTGGTGGGAGTGGGCACGCAGCATCTGCTTTCGCAGCATTCCACAAGTGACAGCGTCACATTTACAGAAAAGCGAGAGCGAGTCCCTGTCCCTGGCTGCGTGTCGCCGCTGCGGTTATCCGGCGGGATGTTACATCACTCGGGGCTCGTCAGGGATGGAACACGAAACCGCTCCCTCAATCTTCTGTGCAAGCGGCAAGCGCAAAAACTCCACACTGATAAAGAAAGGGGGAAACCCCAGCAGCACCGTTTAACAATTTCCGTTTCTCTTCTCACATCAATAACTTTGCCTGACCATAACTATTTGCTTGACAGTACCTATTTCAGCCCCTTAACCCGAGGGGCACCTGAAATACCATAGCAGTACAGCTTTGTGCCCCCACTGCAGCCACATCAATTTGTGCTTGGGTTCTATATTGTAGAGAATAAAATATTTTCTTATCAGTGGAGCAATGCTCAGCAAAGCRTGTTTGCCACAATCCCACCTGCCAGGTAAGGATGCCAGCTGCACTTGATCTGGTTCTCAGCTTGCTCCAGCACTACAAATTTATCCCAATTGTTCATTCCCCCAGTCCCACCTGAAACCAAAAAGGTCCTTAAAGTGAAGCAGCTTTTCCTGCTGCCTGTTTCTTTGGGAACAAACAGCTACAGARGGTGTGAGCTGAGATCCAGACATGTCTTCAGTGTTTGCTAGGACTGAGCCTACACAGATGATCGCTGACAGGAGGATCTCCTGGGAGCACCGTGCTGAGCTGGCTGTGGAACCTGTTGGCATGATATGAAGTGACAAGGAGCACTGCTCAGGGCTTAAAAAATWGTTAAGATCTGAAGAGAAGACAGCRCACATTACCATGCAGGTAATGGTAGGAACCGAGCTGGAGCAGGCTGTGGGGGAGTTTGCTGTGGCACATGACCTCCTGTGCTTGGGACATCTGTGTGTCACCAACCTTTTAGGTCACCTCAGCATTCAAGGCCATGAGGGAGGGATCTGCAGGTCACTACCCTTCCTTATTACCCTCACTTCATCACACAGAGGAATTGATAAAAATCACTCCTGGTGCAGCCAGGGAACCCAGCTCCCATAAATCTCCAGCTCTGGACACTCAGCAGAGGTGAGGAGCAGTTGTGGTGAGGATCAGAGTGCACAAATTGGGTTAAATGTGCAGAGGATGATCCATACCAAGACATCTGCCCGACAGGAAACAGCCTCAGCAGCACAAGGTGGCCAGAAGTACTCCATGTCCCCCTAAATGCCACCTGTATTTGTGTGCATGTAGCCATGACCTCTCTACACCTCCTTCCAAGTAAAGCAGCCACCACAAAGATGCTTTCAAAACCAGCTTTCTGTGTTGTGGCTACAAGCACTGCTCACTCACCTGTTAACTTCCTCTCCAAACAAGCACAATATGCCAAGCTCCTGGTTATCATACCCCTCAACACACACCCCTCCACCAAAAAATCCCCTTSCATGGCACGGGACGGTGTTTTCCATCCCAGGGAAGTTCTATTGTGATAGGATGRAGTCTGCCTGGCCCAGGGACCATGCACATTGTCCACTTGAGTGCACAATCCTTCAGGCAAACTGATCTTGGGCTTCTGGAAACGGAAAAGAAAATTAAACTCAACCCTAACGTACTTTTCAACCTTGAGAACAAGTTTATGTAACTTTAMTGATGACATTTTCAAAGTGCACTGTGTAGATCCACCTCCATTCCTCACACACACGGAAATGTTCTGTGGCTGTGTCTCAAGAGAATGAGAGGAGATGCAGCCATAAAAATAGTAATAGGTAATCTGTAAATTTATGGCCATAAAAWAGCTGCCTTCATTCTGCCCTTCAAGTGCTCCCTTTCAAAATGCTCACATTCTCCTCTCTCTGGAAAAATGCAGAAAATCTGTGGGTATATGACGCTTACAGAGAGCAACAGGACAAATGGGCCCATAGAGCAAAAATGCACCACTGAAATGTCTTTTCCTGAAACCTCACTACAAGGGAGAGAAGCAGAAGAAAAATAAAATGCATGTTGAGAAACACATTTGTTCTGGGCAATGAATTCTCACATTCAAGGTGTGTCTTCTCCATATAAAAATTAGTTGGCTGAGAAATAACACAGCCACCATTGTTCCTAACCTAGTGCTCAACAGTGAAGGGTTGCTTAACTCTCACGCTGAAAATAAAAATAAACAGCTGACAGTTACCAACACAACATAAACATGATGGCAGTGGAATGGAGTGTCAAAATACAACACATTTGGAGGATGAGAAAATTGCACTTTTACATGGCACATCAGGAAATGTGTGAATAATCTTGAGAACGCCACATGCAGGGCCCTTTAGATAACTCTTGATCATAAATTCTACTGCACTAAACAGGAAAAGARATTCTCCAGTCAAGCTCAGCACAGTTCCTAGAGGCAGATTTTAAAGCAAGCTTAGAGCAGGATTCTCAAGCACAAAGAAACCTTAAGCAGAGTTTTAAAAAATCTCAACTCCCAAAGTCCATTCAGTACATTGAAGTCTTTGGGAAAACACACCTGCACACCACGTGGGTGGAGGAAGAGGAGTGACTGAAACTCTCACCCCACAGTTTGAGCCACTTAATGCTGAGTTATTCTGGAAATGAGTCTCTTAGCCTTATTGTCACTTTAGCAAAGGTGACCTTAGCACAAATCCTGCCTTCCTGTCAAGAGGGAAATGAACTCAAGCAAAGATCATTCAGACAGCACCGCCCTTTGTACACCAGCTGGTAAAATACGGATCACCTAAATAAACAGCTTCCTGTTTTAGGCAATGRTTCCTGGGAAGGAAAAACAATGCCCTCCTAGATAGCTATTTCTTATGGAAAGAATCTCTGGCTAAATAGGGCATTCTTTTTCTACACTCTTGATAAAGAGTGACCACAATAGTTTCATGTGATCCGGGTACACCCTCATCTGCTGTGTCCTGGGCATATTGCCACTTCTGTGTCCACCTGCTGCTCTTCATGACACACACGTGTCACACACAGAACAGCCACTGGTTAAAAAGGACACTCTAACCAGAAGTCAGGCAGCAGCACCCACTGTGGCACCCACATGATCTCTGTGTTTCGACATCCTTTTCCCTTTAATGCGTTTCCTTCACAGCTGCCTCCAACTTTCTGTTTAAACTGAAGAGGAAGAAAAGGGAAATTAAGAATGCCATTTAATTCCCCAATGCTGTTTGCTTTCCAGGACCACTTTAAACTTTATTCCACAGAGCGGGGGTGGGACAAGGGCATGTCACAGGGAGAACACCCTCTTTTCCAGGAGAAGGGCACAGTGCCATATGGTGGAGCAGGCTGCAGAGGAGAGACAGCCAAAACAGTGGCATGGACAACCAGACATGACCATGCAAGATGCCATCCCAAAATCAGTCAGGAAACAAGTTCACAAACTGGACTGCAGCTGAGCTGCAGCACAAATGTCTTTGTGCCACAGCATCTCATGGTGTCCAGATGGGTGCTCTGCCCACCCAGGTCAGTAGGGAGCCTCCAATCACACCTCAGGCTTGGCTGCTGCCGTGCCCATGCGGTGCCTTCAGTCACAGGGCAGCAACCAAGGAGGGAGAAGCCTCAAATTCCAAAGCAATTCAAGTCAACACCTCCCAAAACACCAGCTTGCATCTTGTGATACCATGGACTTTTGGGTAAATCAGATATTTGGCTGTGGAAAGACACCCAGCAGTGATACCAACAGTCCTACCTTACACTAGCTTGGAGTTTTAGTTGGCTTTGTCTAAACTGCCAAAGTTTTTCTGGCAAAGGAAATTTAGCCCTATAAGGGACTATAAAAGAAAGAGGTAAGTCAAAATTGATATCCAAGCGGTGGCTTACATGCCTCTGAGAGCCAAACACAGCAGATTTCAAGAAAGGAAACCAATTTCTACCAAGAATTAAGAGAGGAAGTGTCGAGCGTCACAATTTATGCTCAGCAATGTCTTGGCAGCAGACAGCCCTGCCAGGGCTGGGATTTTCCCTTGTTCATTTTTGTACTGGAGAAGTCTGGAACTTCTGCAAAAATAAATACTCCAAAGGTCTAAGTGAGAACTCAGCAGCAGTGGCCCACATCCACCACACATGTGCCTCTGCCTTGCACAATCCTTCCTAGGAGATGGTCCGGGARCAGGGAGCAAAATGTGTCAAATCTGGCTCAGCAAAGTGAAATTCACAGAATGAGGAAAGGAAAACAAAGCTGCACAGGGAACTTCCCATAAGAGGCATGGAAAAAACGTCATGAGAGCCTGTCAGAGATCATAATCTGCGTTCCTATAGCCAGCATATTCCACACCCACGACTGATGTGAGYCTACCACCTCCCATAGAAGCTGGATTCCCCTTTTTAGTCCTCCTCCTCTCTTTTCCAGGTGAAAATGGCTCTTGTGGCAACACCCCCATCCACCAAAACAGCCCGGGGGTGCCTCCTCTTCTTTTTCCAGTGAAGAGTTTGTCTCCAAAATGCTCYGTTGTCCCACACAGCCTTGGGGATTTTGCTGTTGAGTCAGTGACAATTCTTATACCAAGTGAGCAGGACAGCTCACWGTGAGCCCCAGCAGCCAAGAGCTGATGACAGAAGGGGCACAATGGAGCATGAGGGACGCTGGCACCTGGCCATATCATGAGATCAAACAGAAAAACCACGTATCAGAAGAAATCTCCCAAAAGAAGCCAACCCAGCCCTGTAATGGAAAGGTGCTACCAGGGCACACCAGGACTCAGAACAACATCCTGGTGCCCCATGGCCTACAGCTAAAATGAGCACAGCTGGGCAGCAAGCTGCCAAGAGCCACAGYGCCTAAGGGAACTGGCCTAGAAATGAAAGGAAATACCCAGGGACAATAATTTCTTGTATGGTTGGTATTTGTGTCTTTAGCTCAGCCCAGTTATTGAACACACTGACAYCAGCACAGATGGGCAGGGACAGGGTCTGGGGAAGACTTATCTCCAAAATCATCTGTTGTCCCACACAGCCTTGGGAATTTCACTATTCAGGCAGTGATAATTCTCACACCTGAAGCCAAGCAAACACTGAGGCCACCAAAACGAGTCTGACTTTTAAGCAACTTTTAGCGAAGTTATTGAAGGCATTGACCCAAGGCAGGGGACAGGGCTGGGGATGCCTTGGGCAGGCAGATGTGAGAGAGGTGGTCAGTGGGCACAGTGCGGGTCGGGGCTCTGGGGTCGTGGGCAGGGAGCGCGGATCGGGATCGGGATAGGGATCGGCACGGGGATAGGTACCGGGATCGGGACCGGGATCAGGGCCGGGATCGGGATCGTATCGGGATCGGGATCGGGACCGGGATCGGGATCGGGATAGGGATCGGGACCGGGATCGGGACCGGGATCAGGGCCGGGATCGGGATCGGGATCGTATCGGGATCGGCACGGGGATAGGTACCGGGATCGGGACCGGGATCAGGGCCGGGATCGGGATCGTATCGGGATCGGGATAGGGATAGGGATCGGGATCAGGATCGGGATCAGGATCGGGATCGGGACCGAGCGGGGTCGGGGGCAGCGGGCGGCGCTCGGAGGCAGCACCAGGTCCTCCCCCGCGCTAGGGGGCGCTCTCTCGTGGCGGCGGCGGCACTTCCGTCGCGGGCGGCGGGCGGGCGATGGCGGCGCAGTTCCGCAGCTACGTGTGGGACCCCGCGCTGATCGTGGCGCAGATGGTGCTGCTGCAGGCGGGATACTACAGCTCACTGGGGCTCTGGCTCGCCCTCCTCGGCACCCTGGGCAGCACCGGGCCCTCCCTCCAGCAGGTTTTCAGCGACGAGGTGAGGGCGCGCCCCGGGTTAGTCGCCGTGGGCACAGGCCCCTGGAGCGGGGGGGACTGGCTGGGGCTCTCCTGAGGGGACAGACCCCGCTCTCSTGTGGGCATTCCCGGTGTTAGGGACAGCCCCCCGCCCAGGGAGCGCCACGGTGTGGACGCAGAGCTTCCCTACCCCGTGTAGCAGCCCCCCAATACACAGACCTGCTGTCTTGTGTTAGGTGCCCCGGTGTGGAGGTGGAGTTGTCCCTTTGAATAGGTGGTACCYTGGGGTGGAGACAGCATTGGATGTGTGTGGGTGGTAGCCCCCATATAGAGACAGACAGCCGGGACAGGTGGTAGGTACCCTGTATAGAGAGAGAGCTCCTCACTCTGTAGGTGATGCCCCCCTATAGAGACACCCTGTACAGGTACCCCCAGCATAAAGACAACTCCCCCTCCTCCTAGAGGTAACCCCAGTATGGGCACACACACTCCACCCCCAGCTTAGGTGGTTCCCCTCAGCACAGAGCCAGACCTTTCCCTTTCCCATAGGTGCCCCCAGACAGACAGACAYGCCCAGCTCCTCGTGTAGATCCTGATCCATGCAGGGCTGCGCCACGGGAGATTTCGGGCTGCGATTTGTGCCGCGGGTTCCTACTAATAGTCCCATGTAGATTTTAGGCTTCTCAACCCCGCCGGGGAGGCTCTCCATGATGGCTTTCATCCTCAATGCACTCACCTGGTAAGTCTGAAGTTAGCTGGAGCACTTGCATCTTGTCCTTTCATATCATTAAGCTGTAAAAGAATTCAGTGTGATGTACTGCCTCTCTCCAAACATCTCGTGAAATCCATGTGCCTTCTTAAACATGTGTGCTGAGGGCAGTTGGGAACTGCTGACTCTTGGCTTTATGGAATCTGGAAGAGTCATTTCACTTCACTGCCTCAGTTTCCCAGCTGGGAATGAGATTTGCTTCTATGACAGGTTTTACTAAAAGTTAGAATTAATGTATCTCAGCAAAGACTGATCTGTAAACACTAACGTATTTTGCCACTGTACAGAGAGTACTAGGGGAGATAGTGAAGAGAATGGGCAGGAATTTTTAAACTAAAATTTCATTTCCCTGCCATCATGTAATTAAAAAGCTGTAAGCCTTGCTGCAGCAGCCAGGAGAGAGGTCAGAAACAATCTATTCTTAAAAGATTTGAAGAAGTTCTAAAACCACTATATAATCAGCTGCTGATAGCTCTTGCTGCCCCCTCTTTTCCATAGGTCTGGTGGAGTTCATTAATCTCTTGTCTTTATTTTGCAGTGCCCTGGGCTTGCTGTACTTCATCCGCCGAGGGAAGCAGTGCCTGGATTTCACCGTCACCGTTCACTTCTTCCACCTCCTGGGCTGCTGGATCTACAACTCGCGCTTCCCCTCGACGCTGACGTGGTGGCTGGTGCACATCGTGTGCACGGCGCTGATGGCAGCCATCGGGGAGTACCTGTGCATGAGGATAGAGCTCCGAGAAATCCCCCTCAACTCCGCCCCCAAATCCAACGTATAGACTGGCTCTGGCAACAACATGCTGCATTATGTCATTGTTCCCAGCACAAGTGCATCCAATGCCTCGGAATCATCCCTGAAGAAGCACAGCAGGTCTGTTTAGACTTTATGATTAATTTTTTGATTTTGGACCTCGGTGACTGCATGAGTCTGAGCATCTCCTCTGGCATCAGCTGACAACGGGGGAGGAGCAGATGTTTATTTTGTTAACACAAAGTATTAATATGACTGTATGGAGAGTGTGCCCTTAAACTCTTCACTCATGAGACTGTTAAAAGCCAGGTAGCAAAACTTGGTGCGTGAGGAGCGTTTGGAATTTAACGATGTGGGAGTGCCCTGTGTGGTTAACACAATGGTCAGCTCTTCTTGCGAGAGCTGGCACGGTGAGACGTGGGACTGGGAGCTGCTGCTCCCAATCTGTGACTTGTTTGGGCTTTGGTTGGGAAAAAAGTCAAGAAACRAATGGATGGGGAGAAAGAAAATAGTTGTACTTACCTGAATCACCAGCTGAGACACTAAATAACCTGTAATGTTAGATGGGTTTGTTTGCTGTTTCCATGTTTGATACATAGAGGTGACAGACAGCAGTTTGCTGAAGAAATCTTTTGTAATAATAAAAATATRTTGCTGTGAGTGTTACGGCTCTCCTGGGAAGCTGAGCACTTCAAGGAATATCATGAGTGTCTGTATCATGGCAACAGAAGGATGCAGCCAAAGAACACAAGGCTGTGAGGTGCCCACTGTCTGGGGCACATAAAATTTCCTACAATAAACATTTCATACCTCTGCTCTGAAAAGAAGGCATCATTGAGTGCTGTCTTGGGAAGTCAGCTGGCATAATCCCACTTCAGAGGGAGTATCAGCMGTCCAGGATCTCCACATGTCCAGCCTGAGCCTGGAGCTGTCCTGGGGAAGCTGCAAAAGTGTTCTGGAGCCATGATGCTCTTCCCCCTTGTCTGGGCCTTCCCATCAGGCTTCAGCAGCGGCTCTGGCCCGGTAGAGGTGATATTAAATAAGAGACTGCTGCTATTTCTCAAAATAACAGGATGTGCCTTTATTCAGAAGCACTTCAAATAAGCTTCATCAGGCAGGGACACCCCTTTACTGCTGAGAGGCCTGAGCCAGGTGGTTCCTCCAGATCCAACACCCCAAGCATGCAGCACACTGCCTGGYTTCCACTGAGAGATGGCCAGGTTGTGCAATCCCAAAGCCAGGTCTAGAGAAAGATTTTTCTCATGTGCAGCATCTTGCTGCAGCAACTTCYCTTTGTATGTTAATATTTGTAAATRTTAATTTGCATAGCTTATCTGCTAATTCAGCTTGTTGAAAAGTGGTGGGATGATGTGAGATCGAAGTTGATAAACTCTTTGAAGCTGCTCTTGACTTTTGTTACTGCGGAATTGAATTGCATTTCAGTCCCTGCTCTCACACTCAGACACTGTAAATTGGGGCAGGATGACATCCTGCTGCTTTACATACTCAGCAGGTCTCCTTCAGAGGAGGATTTCTGTCTACACAAGTAGTCACCAGCACTTTTTATATTGGGGGATTACACCAGGAGCCCCTCCTGACCAATGCCCCTGTGAGCAGAGTTTCTAACAGTAGCAGCCCTTCTGAGGGAAGARTTTACACGGGTGTTCTTCTGGGCAGGAGCCAGTCTGGAGGCCCAGCCCGAGGTCACTTCCTAGGGCTGCCCCTGCAGCAAGGCAGTCCATCCCTTCTCAAAATCTGCTCGTTTCTCACATGCAGGGATACTTGTTTTTCTCCTCTGGATATAAACTGGTCTCCAGTAGGTGCCAGTATCTCCCTCAGAAAGGACCAGGGAGTGTGCATGTGGTTGGGTTCAGGGCGTGGAGCAGAGGGCAGCTCTGCCTCGGGGTGACAAGCACTGGCGTGCTGTTAGTCATGTTTTAAGACTCCTTCAGGGTCATTTTGTCCTCTGCTGCTTTTTGGTGCTATTCCTGAGGAAGAACATCCCAGTCCTGCAGGGACAAGGAAAGTTTGCAGTTTTAATTTAAGGCTTAATACCACACCAAAGTGTGATGTGAACTCCTGTGTTCTTCGGGGCTGTTCTTGAGGCAAGTGGGAGCTGAAGATTAATTACAGTGAATTTGAGAGTGAGGAGACAAAGCCACATTCTTCCAGCTGCTCCCAGAGATGCTGTGGGCCTGCATTAACAGAGCTGCCATCTTTGTTCCCGTGCAAGAACAAAGGTGAAGACTTTGGACTAAGGAACACTTAACCCATTTATTTTTGAATATACAAGATATGCTGTAACTGCTTCAGCAGCTTCCCTGAGGGGGTTAAATCTGGGGACAACTTTGTATCTGGAGAAACTCAGAGCAAGGCCATGAGAAGAATCCTTGACAAATGGRGCTTTAATACTGAGGCTGCAGGACATCCTGGGAGCTGTATTCATCAGCATAAAGTGTGCTGTAGGATCAGAAATCTTTCTGAAAGGCTGCTGACTGCCTAGGAGAACTGAATGTGAGTATAAGTTTCTTTTTAAAGGCCTTCTACTGTAATTGTCCTAGGCATGGAGGAAGTTCTGCTAAAAATGAAATACTGATTGAGGAAACTCATCACTCCCATACTGTGAGACCTAGTTTTCTCTCACATGCTTTCAGTCAGATTTAGAAGCACCTTTGGCTTTAAAAAAAAAAATCTACTGCTCTATACCAGAACGGTGGCAGATGGTCTTTGTTTCTTAATGAATCTTTGGGGTTTTTTTTTTTTTTTTTTTTGTGTGCAATAGTTGAGGGATTTGCTGCCAGGGAAGATATGTCCCAACACCTGCTTTTCACAGAGACAGTGGCAATGGCAGTCAGCCACTTGCATCCAGAGTTTTGCAAAAGGAAGATTTCTTGCAGATCTGATGCTTTTACCTTYCCTTTCCCCAAGGCTGTTTCAAAGTAGAAAATTTTGACAGAGGGAATGCAAGGGTTGTAGGATTTTAGAGGGCTGTGCTTATTTCTTTTCCTAAAGGCATTAAAAATCTGTTTTAAACAAAGAGCAGGTACAGGATCTGGATCCCAGATACTCTAGTCTTGGTTGTACATGACATGCCCCTGCTTCAGCTTACCCCAGCCACAAGAGGGTAACAGGGGAGGGGAGAASAGGATCAAACAGCAAACAGTGCTGTTGGAATTGAGTGAGAAGAACAAAATGGAGCATCTGGGTGGTTCACTCCAGGTTTTACCCTGCTCTGGTTTACCCTTTCTGCACACTCACCCTAAGGCTTTGTGCCCCAGATGCTGAACGTTGAATATATAAGTAACAACTCTGCTGTGTGTAGAAAGCCAAGGTGCACTGAAGTGCTGTCTGAACACCAGCTGCCCCTCCCTGGCTTATTTAGTTGAATTTGCCTCGATTTCTTCATTCTCTTCTGCTGCTGCAGGAGCAGAGTGTTGAGTGAAGGTAAGAGGAAGAACGCGTGAGTTCCAAAGGAAAGCAGCAAAGCCCAGCACCATTGTTAGCAAAAAAATCTTTTGCTCTAGAAGCTTTCCCACTGCCTGGAATGCATCTGGTGGGATATGTGGTGTAGGCAGGGCCCTAAATCCCTTGTTCACACTGAAGAGCACACACCCCAGAGCCCTGTGCAGCCAGGCAGGGCACAGGGATCCATCAGCATCCTTAGAACACAGACTGCCTTGGGCTAACCGATGATACTGTTGTGTTTCTCTAACATACTCAGAAATCACCTGCAAACACCTCTCTGTTCCAAATACTTCCATGCTTGTACTGAAGCTACAAAACTGACAACACTCTGAGCCACAAAGGAGACAAGAGGAGACTGTGCTGTTGAGCAAGAGCCAGGACAAATAACTTCTGCCATGCTGTTGGCTCTACAACAAACTTTAATACTCTGGAATTATATACTTCTACCCACAGAGCTGCTTACAGGTACCTTGGGGAAAACTTTAAAGCAGAAGAGTTACTATAAATCCCATTTGTCCTCCTAGCTTGATACTCCCTCTCCCCCCTCTATATCCTTAGAAAAGGGATTTACACATAACACAGAAGTTACTTGGGAATTCAGATGTGTGCAAGAGAAGTCATGCAACTGTGATTATTGTTCAGCAGGTGTTTTGCCATGTCCTCAAAGATAAAAGGCCAGTACAGGGCAGTAAAGACCTCCTTTCAGCCTGTGACAGGACAGATATCATCCGCTGCCCCTYAGAGCAGTGGTAAAAATACCCATCTCATTTTGAGTGCCCAAATCAAAAACCTGGAGAGTTGATCTGRTGGCAAGAGTCAGCAAAGTAAACAGGTTTCCTTCCAGTAGCCATGAAAGAGTGCCAAAGTGTCCAGCATTCATCCTTTTTCCAGAATACATCATTTTTCCCCAAATCCTCTGCCCCTTGTCTACAAGTTCCCAAATTCTCCAGTCAGCCAGATCTGTGCATGAGCCTTGAGGCAGAAAAGGACAGGAGTTGTTCCAAATTACAGAGAAATTTTAACACCTGGGAGAWGCTGCTGAGCTCTTCCATGTCTCACAGACACAAGATGGAGCTGGGACTTTCTGAGCTCCACAGTATATTCCTCAAAGGTTTGGAAAAAAGATCTGAAAGATGCCATGCCACACACTGCCATCACCTTTGCTGGGATACTCACAGAGCTGCAGTTTATAAGTTCAGCCAAGTGACAATCAGGGGGACGCTGAGGATGGAAATGTTGGGAATGCGGGTCCAGGCAAAGCTTTGGGCCATGCTGGGGCTGCAGAGGTCGAACAGGCTGCCTTGAAATCTGTTTTTTCGGGACTCCCTTCTCAGCATCTCCCAGACGGCCGCTGCTTCCTTCTGGCACTCCCAGAGCGCTGTCAGGGCACAGGTGTGGAATTCATCCCAATACCTGCAGCTCGGGAGACACCACACTGTCAGTCCCTTTGCACTCCCACAATGCYAGATGCCAGGCAGAGCCTCACTGCCCTGAGCCTGCCCTCTGAACGGCAACAATCCTCGTGTTTTTTACAAGTTGCCCAGACTATTCATTCTCTCCATCATCTGCCAGAGCATCTYGGCTAAAACTCCAAACCTCAAAACACTGAAATTATTTATTCCTTTTTTTCCCCCACCTTTCTCTGGAAGTCAATAAAATCCATTATTTCCATCAACAAATGTTTCCCTGAGTATCTCACACAGGCTGCAAACAAAGGCCCAGCACATCTCATTCATCACTTTCTCCAAGCTTTCTCCAAGCAGAGTCAAGGGCAAATGGGAGCACAAAGCACGGAGAAGGACAAGAGCTCCCACAGACTGTCACAGCTTTAACTGAGGTACGGGCAGGGGCAGAAGGAGTTATTCACTGTGTTCTCATTAGAATCGTCTCCATTTATCTGCTGGGTGTTAACTTGCACAAGCACAAGCTGTTCAGTGGAAAGAGGCTTTTGGGGAGTAACAGAGGGAAAAGGCAAAACAGGCAAAGATAACCCATGGTCCTGCAGGAATAAACTGTGAGCTGTTCCACTGTCCTGTCCCACATGGGCTGGGGCTGAGCACCACCTCCAGCCCCTGCAAGCTGGGGACTGTCCAGAGGACAGGARCAATTGCTCTGACACCTTCCTTGTGTCTGCCAACACACCAGGCACACATGCCACCCGTCAGGAAGGGGACACAGCCCAGTGTCTGAGTGGGGACATTGCACCTGAAAGGGACAGGTCAGTGCTGTCTGAGTGCACTGTGTTGAAGATGGCACTTTGTGCAGACAGGCAAACCTGAGCACTCTGCGTACTGAGACCTGGGGCTTACATCAGAACACCAGCTGTGAGGGAGTTCATTAAACCGAGCCACTGTGGCAGAATAAACGTCCCCAGATAATGAGAAAAGCTGGTGCCAACTCTGGCAACCCCCGGCACTTGCTCCCGATCTGCAGCGGCAGCAGAAGGCAGCTTTGACAGGTAAGAGTTAAACCTGACCCATGTCTTCAGGCAAAACAAGCTGGGGGAAGGTGAAGGGGAATGGCAGCTCCACCTGGATCTGCTTTCAGCTGGGATGGCAATTCCCAGCGTTTCACCCTTCACAGCCCCCATCTGCTCAGGCAGGCAGGCTGCTGGCRCACACTTTGCCCGGGTGGCTCGGGGGCAGCGTGCACACAGAGCTGAGACACCACCAGCCCCCACCGAGCTCCTGSCTGCCTGTCCATCCCTCACCCACGCTCCTGGAGAGGGGACCACGGCACCAGGAATGCAAGCAGCAGTGGATAAGGCTGAGCGTCAAAGGCAAATAATTCAGAAATATTTCCCGTCAGGAAGCTGGGACATCTGCAGCTTCCTGCCGGGGAAGATCCCAGGACCTGCCCTGCSATGGTCTGTGCCTCTGAGCTGTAAGAAAACCTCAGCTCGCACATTTCACATGAGCTTCACCAAAGGAATCACTCCTCCAGCAGCCAGCAGCAGCATGGGTGGGCTGRTTTCTTGGATGTTTTCTAACACCAAGAAGCGTCCTTTAAAAAAAAACCCCAAAAAACCAAAAAGTATCATTTCTGTCCAAACCATAGCACTTCCCACTTTAACACAGCCTTGGCCAGGTCTCACAGAGGTTGTTCATCCTAATTTAGGCTGTCTCCTGGAGATGGGGGAATACAGAGCAGGTCACAGCCTGCAGGGCGGTYTCCAGCAGCTCAGAAAGGCTGACCCCAGGGCACTCAGCCCTCCACCTTGCTTTGCCAGGTTTCCACCACCCCCAGGCACGTGGGTTTTCCTCCATTACTCTTTGCATTTCCTTTAACTCCTGTTCACTCCCCACAGCTTGCTCTGGAGACACAAAGCTGCCTCCATTTATCCCTGCAAACATTTTATATCTACCTTGCCACTCTCACTCATTTGCTTTTCAAGCAGACCTTTCCCCAAACCTCCCCAACATCACCCCTCTTTACCCAGCTCTCCTTCAGTTCTATTAAAGTTAACGTCCTGCCAATATCGTCATCTCAGGGCCCCGCTACAAACTCAGGCAMACCAGGGCTGGGACGAATCCAAGCCTGAAGGATGGAGGGTCTGAACAGGGAGGGAGAAGGCTTGTTTTGGGCAGCAGGTGCCCAGCGCAGGTTGCTCCCGACAGCGCTGAGCCCAGGGGCAGAGCAGCCACTTGCACGTCACTGCCTGAAACCTGGGGTCCAGGGGAGATTTACTGGGGGGCAGAACAGGCTGGGTCCCGTCAGCCCCGCTCCTCCCGGCTGCGGGCATGCAGGGTCTGAGGGACCAGTCCTGGGGGCTGGAGCTGCTGCCAAGGACCAGGGATACAAACTGCGGTGGGAGACAGGCAGGGGATGCATGGATAGATGATGGATGGATGGATGGATGGATGGATGGATGGATGGATGGATGGATGGATGGATGGATGGATGGAGAAAAGAAAGGAGCTCACCTGGTCTATCTGAAACCGGAGTGAGGTGTGGAGCACATGTGTGTGTGCAGGCATGACCAGACCCCGGCGGGCAGGAGACTTCAGACAGGGGCAATGCCAAAAGACGGCCTGGCTAAGCATCGTACTCACCTGCAGACTCGGCGCAGCCCCTGCAGCTCGATGCCCTCCTCCTCCTCGTACGTGGCCATGCTGTCCCCCAGCTTGAGGACGCAGTCCGAGAGGCCCCGGTAAGCGTCGGCGCAGGAGGGTCCCGCTGCCAGCAGCCCGGCCAGGTGCCCTGCCAGCACCGGGGGTGAAGTGAGCACCCGCCCCTTTGGGGACAGAGCCCAGCTCCGCCCCGGGGTGCCCCGGCTCGGCGAGCGGTCCCTTCCACGCAGGACGGCCACGATCCCCCGCCGCCCCCCGGATGTGCCGGCGTTTGCCCAGAGCCCGGCGGACACGGGGMGACCCGCGCCCCGTCAGCCATCCCGGCACCGGTACCCCCGGCCCGGGGCGGCGGGGGATCGTTCAGCGGCTCTGGCAGCGGGACCCGCCGGGGAGACCCCGCCCGCACGGAAGGAGAGAGGGAGGGATGAAGGGGACACCTCATCGCATCGCCCCCCGCCCGGACACCCCGAACACCGCCCGTCCCCCCACCCGACCCTCGCCCRTGCATCCCCTCACCCAGAGCGAGGAGCAGCACGGCCGGGCCCCGCCGCTGCCCCATCCCTCCGCCGGGCTCGGGCTCCAGCCCCGCTCCCGCTGCCGGTGTCCGCACCACCGGGGCCGCCAGCGCTCCCCTCCCTCCCGCCTCCGCGGGGAGGGCACCCGTCCCCGGTGGCTGCTAATGAGAGTCTTCGGCCGTGGCTAATTAAGGAGGAGGCTGGGCCGAAGCTACCGAGAGTCCGGGAGCACCCCGCAGCCCCGGGATCCCGCATCCCTGCACCTCCCCGTATTGCATCCCATCCCATCCCACCGAGATTCTACCAGCACCCACCGCTCCCCACACTCTGCATCCACCTGCCGGCACCKGCATCCTCACCCAAAGCCCCCCGCCCCTGCCCAGCACAGCCTCTGCTGCCCGCTCCAGATGTCACCCGAGTGGGGAACACGGGACAGTGGCCGCTGCCAGCAGCAGGAATCCGGGCAGGGCGAGAATCTGTTCGCTTGCCTTGAGTCTCTTGAACAGCACAGGGGGACGCAATGAAAGGTGGGAAGCAAAGCCCAGAGCATTTAAAGGGTCAAAGCCTTGAATATCGGTACCTACAGCTCCAAAACCTTCTGTCCAGACCCTGGCTCCAGCARTTCCCAAGGCTGCATGGGTTTTGTGGCATCAGTTTGGATTTTGCATCTTGGTGGCCTGATCCTTACCCTCACCTCAGGAGTCCCTTTGGGTCCAGCAGGACGGAGAGCAGAAAGTTTCCCACCTGCATTGGTGGCATTACTGTGGAGGCTGCTCGTGTCACACCCTGCTCTTTGCTGGTGACAGCTTTGCTCCTGGGGACACTGCTCTGCACCAGTTCATGGACACGACTGGACCCAGGACCTTCATATGGGGGTCCCCTCTGTGCACARGTGCCCCCACCCACGGGCCAGCTGTGCCAGCACCCCCAGACACCTCCAGCCCCAGGAACCCAGAGCAACTGGAAACCACAACTCTGCAAACACTGCAAATACTCAAACCTAATGCAAAGAGAGCTGGCGTGTGAAAAACAAATAAAAGAGCAGCAAAACCAATGACATACAAAATTTATTTACAGACAAGTGCCACGTGCTGCATCACCATCAGTCCTGGAAGGAAAGCAAGCAGCACAGTCATTTCAGCCAGGCCACTGATGCACGTTCCATTTGCCACCAGCCTGGAACACGCAGGGCAGAGCCTGGCCCAGAGGTGTCAACACATGCCCACAGCTACCTGCAGGGACAAACCAGCCCCAAGGACGCTTCCCCAGAACCTGCACAATGCCCCAGGACACAGGGCTGCTCCACTGCACTGAGAGCACACTCTGTGCAGAATAGCTCAGCCACCCCTAAAGGAGTGGGATATGATGGAGAGGAAATCCCTCTGGGCTGCGGGCAGCCCCTGCCAGGCACCTTCTACCAGCCCTGCCTGCTCYTTCTTCGGCCAAGGCTGGTGTCCTGCTGCCCCCCCCATGATCTCCCAGCTCTACCAGCTCTTGTGCCAGCAGCTGGCAATCAGGGATGGGTACATGGGGCCCGAGGACACGGGGACACGACACCCCAGGGGCTTGGCAGGAGCCCCTCCAGCACCACACGGACTGTTAGCACTGGGACTGGGATCCTTCCCTCGGGACAGGGCATATCCAAGGAGCCGGCTGGCTGCAGGCATGGAGTAGTGCTGCAAACCCAGGCAGGCTCCCCCCACCTCGCCTCGCCTGCCGAGATTCTCGTTTCTCGGCAGCCACATTCCTTTGAGGGTGTTTATGGCTTTTCTGTCTCCCYGCTGTCCCAGGCTAAAATCGCCCCTTTTAAGGGAGCCACAGGACCATGGGTTGCTGGAGCCTTGCCGCCTGCAGGCTGCTCCTTTGCAATGTATCGCCTCATTTACTGGAAAAGCAGCCTTGCCTTGCCTTGTTTTTCTCTTGACTCCACAATTTTCTGATGGAGTCAAGCTGCAGCTCACTCCCAGCCCCATCCACGCACGCCTCCCTGAGAATAAGATGTATTTTTTCACCAGCAAGTGATTCACCTGTGCCTGGAACTGGTTTGYCTTTCCCTTAGCTGCCGATTCCTCYGCARCTCCATCCTCACCCCGCAGCTCCCTGACTCACCTCCCAAACCTCTAATAAACGGGAAAAAACCTAAGCAGGAATGGCAGGAGGAACAAGTCACCTCACATTTTCTCCCGATGAGAGGGACACTTTGATGCTGGCTCCCCTGGGGTCTTTTGGCAGGAGCTGGACTCTGTGTCGTGGAGAGAAGAGGTGACATTCCGACCTGGGCTGGTGACCTGGGCATTTGCGGTTAGGGCAGGGCTGTTGACACAAGACAGGGCTGTGAGCGTGCACTGAAGACATAAGGGAGGCAGGGATGCTGCGGCAGCCGAGACAGACCCTGCAGGGTTCTGGCAAGGCTTATTCTTAGGGATTTGTACCAGAAGTGGAGACTCTCCACTGACTCCAGCGTCACTTCTGTCCCTCTCACCTTTTGGCCGGGGGCAGGCACGCTTTGCTACGAGTAAAAAAAAAAAAAAAAAAATCATTGTGTAGATCTGGCTCGCCTGCAATGGTTTAATTGGAATAAAATGTGTGCCCCGCTGAGCGGCACGGCTTGTGCTGAAGAGCCAGGATGAGTCAGGCTCGGTGCCGATGATATCAGTGCTTTTCCAACGCCCTTCCAGCAAGGCAGGATGGAGAGGACACGAGAGCGAGGGGCCTGGGAACGTGTCACTCTGCACGGGCAGCACCCCCATGTGCCGTCCCCGCAGCGGGGATTCGGGATGCAGAGAGCCCTGGGAACCTCGGGGTGCTCCGGAAAGTCGTGAGCACACAAACAGCCTCCACGCCTCGCAGTAGCGACCGGTGCCAAAAGACACAGACGCGTCACATAGCACAGACCTGAGCTAATTCCCGGCCCTGCCCCCTCGCCCCTCCACTGGCAGGGCAGGGCAGGGCAGGGCCGGGCAGGGCAGGGCAGGGGGCAGTAGGGACGGTGCTGACCGGCTGATGCTGCCCGGGGGCCACACGGAGCTGTGAACAAGCCAGCGCCGGCAGGTGCCCAGCAGAGATTTGCTCCTGCACCTGCTCAGAGACCAYAAGCCCCAACTCGTGCTACACCAGCCTGGTTCCCCCCCAAAACCGCAGTGCTGGCATCCTACACCACGGTGCAAATCATTAGGCAGGACTGAGGGTGCTTATGGGTAGGGATAAACATTTATGTACCCCTTGAATATAAAATTCAACCCCACCGTGAAAGCTGAAGTCAGCCCCAGGGTTGCCGGCTCCGGGTCCCCAGCACAAAGCTGGTTTGTGGCAGCAGGAGGTCCCAGGGGACACAGGGGGGACAGCAGAGCAACAGTAGCCAAAACAGAGCTGTGACTCAAACAATACTCAGTTATCTTTTGTTATACAGGCAGTGAGAGGAACACACTGAGAACGGGACAGGCGGGACACGCCACAGACTCTGGAAACTCCCTTCCAGCCACAGCAAAGGGCACAGTGGATGTCCCCCATCCCGGCTTGGCATTGGCCGGGCTCCGGGCAGAGCTGGCACTGGGAACGGCGAGGCACTGACTCACCCTGCTGAGACACAGGAAGGAGGCGGCGGCCAAGTCCTTGGCTCTGCCAAGGAGCAGCCCTGATGTGCAGGGCTGAACGTGGGAGAAAACACCCCAGAGCGGGGTTAAGGGTCTCACAAGGCCAGGAGTGAGATGGGGACGGAGCCCGTGGCCCATCAATACATCCCGCTGTCCTCTCTCGCGCGGGAATGCGTGAGCTGAGCATTTTGAGAAGATAAGCAAAGAAAAGGCGAGCATGAATGGTAACTTCTCCCTGGCCAGGCAGAGCCCCTACCTCCCCCCGCCTCCCCCTGCCCACCTCCTGCCCCGCGGGGCGCAGCTCCTGCCGGAGCAGGGCACCTGCAGCCCACCACCGGGCACTGATCCCTGCCTGGGGCGGCTGTGGCGGGGTGGGACCCTCTGCAGGGACMCTCCTTGGGAGGCAGGGAATCTCCACGGGTCCCGGCAACGTAGAGACCCTCCGCGAGGTCCTCTTCATGGGACCCTGCTCTCCACGGGRTCCAGAGACCCTTCCCGGGGACCTTCTGAGTCTCCCCGCGGACCGGAGACCCCATCCCGGCCGCAGGACTCCCGGAGACCCCGGCAGCAGCGGTGCGGGACCCCGGCGGGGCAGCAGGGGGGAGGCGCGGCCGCGGTGCCGCGGTGATGGGCGCGCCGGTACCGCCCCGCGCCGCGCCGAGCGCCGCCCCGCAGCGCGGCTTGGGAGAGCGGCGGCGGCGGGGGGGGCCCGCACTGAGCCCCGTCCCCCCGCCCGGCCCGGCCCGGCCCGGCTCGGTCCGCTCGCAGCAGCCGCATGTCGGGGCCCGGGGCGCAGAGCCGCAGCCGGCGGCTGCCCGGTAAGTGCCGGCCGCGGGGTGGGCTCGGCGGGATGGGAGCGGGGCACCGCACCGGGCGGGCGGGCAGCGTTCGGGCGCCACATCCCCTCCATCCTCCCCGCAGCGCCCACCTGATGCCCCTGGCAAAGCGGCTGTGCCCCACCAGCCACCCCCGGAGCCTCCAGCCCCGAGCCCCCGAGCCCCGCGCTGCACCAACCTGCTGCCGGCCCCTCTGCCCGGCTGTTTTAGGGCAGGGGCTGCTCGGCCAGCTCCGTGCTTGGGACGGGGATGCTCGGGGAGCGRGAGACTTTGAGGGACACCTGCTTGGGAAGTGGCAGAGCTCGGGAATCTGTTGGGTCACGGGCTTGTTCTGGAGTGGCATCGGCAGCCCTCGGAGCCCCGTGGCTCCCGGAAGGAGCGGAGCGGATCCCCCCGTACCCGCGGGGCTGAGGATGCTGAGCAGAGCAAACTCACTGGCGAGTGGCGGGGCGAGCACTTGCCGGGGGACCGGGGCTTGTGGAGGAGCAGCCCGCCAGGGACCGTGCCCGGGTCGTGCCTGCTGTGCCTCGGGCACCGCGCTGCCCCGTTCTCATGCTTCTCCTCGCATGAAAGGAAGYAGGGCCCCGCAAATAGCAGGGTCTTATGACACAGCCTCTGCCGGGGAAGGAGCTCCGGGCGGCAGGGAAGGATATTTTTAGTGCTGAGACGCAGGGGATTTGGAGATCGCTCGGAGGAGTGCAGGCGATGAA